GTTTAGTTAAGATAATTTTAGTTTACTACTTTCTCTTTTTCTTTTTTTTTTCTTTTTTTTTTTTTTTTTTTTTTTTGGCAGTTGTGTGTGCACAATTAGCTGCAATCTTGGCTTAAAAAAAATAAAGCACCCTAATTAGCATATTAAGCCTCCTCATTTCCCAATACTGTATAATGTTGTGAAAGCTAATCTATAATGTATTGGATGTTATGCAAATTCTCAGCACTCCGTATGGGGTTTACAAAGGCATGCAAATTAAAAATAGTGTTTGGAATAGGACTGGGGGGAGGGGAAAATTTGCACAATAAAATATGCAGGTAGGAGGAAAGGTGTTTATAACCTTCTTCCTATTGTTTGTGTATTCTCAGCTGCACAATGCTTTTCAAAGCTGAGAGATGTATTGCATAAAATGTCTCCAAATTGGATAGTTTTTAAATGAAATTTAAAATGAGAGTACTGTTCTCTGAGCAATAATTCACCCTGCTCTCTGCTGGGGCTCCTGAGGGGAAGGTAAAGGCGCTGAGCTTTCACTGGCTGGCACTGCAGGCGTGCACAGCTGTTCCTTGTGTGTTCCTCTGGGGGTCACCGGGGGTCTCGACACAGCCCAGCTGCCCGGGGGGTCCTTGGTGGGGGCTTGGCCGGGACCTGGCCGCTCCCCATCGCTGTAACCGAGTGGGGCAGGTGCATTCCCTGCACCCCCGGGGTGTCGGCAGTGTCTCGGGCGTGCTTTGATGCCGTTGATGTGTTATAGCCTACCTGTGGGAGGCTGCAGGCGGAGCTGCAGCACAGCTGGCTCTTAGGATGCCGCTGGCTCCTGGTGGAGGAGCTCTGCCTCTGCCAGTGCCAGGCCAGCAAACACGGTCTGTCTCATGTGGCTTGTCACTGCCACCCGTTGGCTGTGTCCAGCTGAGTGTGTACAGCCTGCCCTGATTGATACTTAATTAGATTACAGCTGCTGCTTAAAAATAGCCATTTTATAAAAATAAAGTCTTGGCTGGTGTCAGACTGAGCCCTGTGCAGGCCAGGAGGGAGTGGTGCTGCCTCTGCCTGGACAGCTGGGAAGCTCTGCAGGCAGTGCTGGCAGCGCTGCCACTGGGACCAGTGGTTATCCAACCCTGGATGGCTTTCTCCTGCTCTTGCCTCCCTGCTGGCCTGGGTGACACTGCACAGGGTCATGTCAGAGCAGCCTGTGGAGCGTTCAGCTCAGGAGCTCTTGAATACAATCATTTTTCTCATGATATCCCATGAGCTTCCTGGGCTTGGCTGCCACCCTCCTGCCAAAGGACACGGAGCATCTCTGAGAGCAGCTCTTCCCGGCATCAGCCACCAACAGTCTCACAGCCATCCCAAATGCAGCTTCTTGGCAGATGAGGGAACAGGGATTTCTTTACCTGCTACTTCTTCCAGCATCTTGCCCTGCCCCAGGCATGGCGGGGCTCAGCCATTCCTGTTGCTCAGAGTTGTGAGCCCTCCCAGTCTGGGGATGTTTCCCTAAATGCCAATATGCAATTTAGCTTTTATTTAAGGTGTTTTGTATAGGTCTTGCTGCTCTTTCTCCTGAGTCTCTTCTGCTCTGCAGAGAGTCAGGCACTTTGAGCAGAGGTGGGAGAAAGGCAGAGAGCAGCAAGAGCCAAACGTGAGGCTGGCACTGGGGCAGGCATGGGCATCTCCTGCATCCCATCTCTGCTGACAGCAGGCCTGAATGGACCCCAAGCAGGCTGTGCACGTGTATGCCTGGTGTCATCCTGTGCTAAGTGGCATTAGCATTGCTGGGGATAAGAAGGCAGCCCTGTGCAGCCGTGGAGCAGGGATCAGAGCTGTTCAAGCAGGAGCAGGAACTGATCCTTGCACAGAGAGCCTGTCTCATGGAAACGGGCAGGAGAAAAACCAAGACTTCGCACAAGGAGGAAGGACAAAACCTAACCTAGAGCTCCTCAGGTGCTGCTTTCCCACACAGAAGGGCCAGATGAGCTCAGCCCCCCTGGGCTGTGGGCTCTTGGCAGCACGAGTCAGCGACTCCATTTATCCTGCCAACATTTCCCACCCTGGGCACTTTCAGCTGGCATTTCCATATTCATCACTTTCCTTCATAGAGGTCTGTATTTGCTTATTTTCTGCTGCAGTTGTGGACCGGGGGAGCTGGAGATGCAGCAGTTGTGGGCAGTGCAGCCGGGCACGGTGCCTCCGAGCGCAGCCGCTGCAGCTGGAGGAGCCAGCGCCGGGGGGACGTGGCTGTGGCGGCCGGCAAAATCCCCTCCGTGGAGCCAGCCTGGGGGTTTTTGCTTTGCAGATGTGCACAGAGACCCGCCAGGCACGGGGACTGCCGGGATCGGGGGCTGCAGGCGTTGTTGGACCGTGGGAAGCCACAGTGGCTGGTGTGGGGGATTCTGTCTGTCAGTGCAATAGGGCCCTGCTGGATCAAACCCACCCAGACGTGTAAAGCTACTGCCAGTGCCTGTGGCACACCAAAGTGGGAGATTGGCCTTGCTTTGTTTCCACTGCCTTCATTTAACAGTGAGTGCCGATTACTCAAAGCGATATGGGCAGGACCTGGTAATGTAGAGATGCTCTAGCCTTAACTTAAGGGGATGATCCAGTTGCCTGCAGTGTAAATACTTTGTGGCCAGGAACCCTGCTTTATCGCTTTGTATAGTTTTAAAGTAGTTTAAAGATTGAATAACATAAAATAACATAATATAATGTTATTTATGTTATTTCCCACGTGAAGAACTCCTGTAAACCTTGCAGTATTGAAACTCAGTGAACAAGGCATCTTAGACAAGCTGAAAAACAAATGGTGGTACGATAAGGGTGAATGTGGAGCCAAGGACTCCGGAAGTAAGGTCAGTCGCTGAAGGTCTTTTTGTACTGATTAGCAATCACATTTTGACCCACTGTTTGTTTATACCAAGAATGACTTTCAGAAATTGCTATTTACATTTTGAAGGTTGAAAGAAAAGAATAGAAAAAAATAAGTCTCAGAACATGACAGCATTTTTCTTATATGCAGTAACAGACTGTAGTTGTAAGTATATTTCTCTGTGTGAGTATTTTGCTAGAAACATGCTAAGAGAAGCCCCCAAAGCCTCCCAAGCTGGTGTCTTCATTTAAATGTGCAAATTTCAGCACAGTCACTGTCTATTATTCAGGCCAGCATATTTTCTTATTTTTATTGAAAAAAAACATTTTTGCTTCAAAATTGTTACTCAGGTTCTCTACATGTCAGTTTGGGAAATGGTCACATGCTTGCTAAGGGCACAAATTTTCAGGACAGACAGCTGATAAGGAAAAATCACCTTTCCTGCCCTATTTGCCAATTCATTTAAAAAATTGGTTGGATATTTTTAAAAAATCTAGAAATACTAATGGTGAATCATTACCAAAATATTGCATATTCTTTTTTATTCTGCTTTGAACCATTTTGCTGCTGTACTGTCCTGTCATCCACCAGCTGTGCTGTGGGGCTGTCCAGCCTCATGCAGGACCACTGTAGAATCCAGGGCAGGTCCCACCCCTGAGGTGGCTTGGCCCAGTAGCTGCACACTTAAATTGCAGGGAATATTTATTTACACCATTCAGTTAAAAGGAGGACTTTTTTTTTTTTTTTTAATGCTTATAGACCCATTGGGGAGAAAAACTCTGTAAAAGTGCTGGGCTTGTTGGAGTGAAGGACATTTTCAAAGGCACCAAGAGGAGGAGGAATCCAGCTCCAGCTGAAATCGGTCGCAGTTGAGTGCCTAACTCCCTTGGTGCCTTTGGAAGTGCTCTCTGTAATCATTCAAACAGAAAACTATAATTTCAGAGCACCCTTTCAGTGTCAGAGGACAATTTCAAGTTCCAGCGAAGCCAATAATAAAATTTCATTGATTTCAGTAGGACTGGAAGTTGCTTAGGGCACAGCCCAGTAGCTCTTGTGTCAGATAAATTTGGGATCATGGCATATCTGAACACACAGCAGCTGCCAAAGGGAACTGTGATCAAAAACAGGTATAAATGATTAAGATCTTTAGTGTAAATGGCAGGTTGTTTGCAACAACCACATGTATCCAAACTGTCTGTGAAGCACACAGACACTTACAAGGTAAATCATATTTTACTCTGACTATATGCAAATTTAGCTCTCCCTAGAGAGACTCGTTAACCGAGCTCTGTCAGCAGTGCCTTCTCTGGGCACAGACAAATTTCTTTGGCACCTGCCCATCCACCCCGGCCGGTGTGGTGTGGCAGCCCAGCCAGCTGTGCCAGCCAGGAGCCGTTCCTGCCCACAGCCTCCCACCCATGCAGCAGCAGAAGGGTTGCAGCTCTATTTAATGCCATTCCAGAACCTTGTTTTAAAGAAATGCAAGCTTCTCCCCCATCTGACATGTATTGAAGGAAGATAAACCCTGACCAATGATTTTTGTGTTACAATGTCTGGTTTCATTCAATAATTCACTCTCCAAAAAGTGCTAGTTTAGCTCAGGGCTCTGCTACTTGACCTCTAAGTAACTGACCATCTTTCTAGGGTGGGTTTTTTTTTCCTAACTGTTGAAAAAAGGTAGTTAAGTTCAGCAGCATCTCAAGAATTTTACCTGCATTGACCAAATCCAAGTGTATAGTGGTTTGGCTTTTTCTTTTTGTAGTTTTGTCATGGCCTTCTGTAAAAGCTGCTGTTTTATGCAGCCACGATCACAACTTTCCCCCAGTGCCTTTGCTAGCAGGGGTGCTCAGCCGTAGGCTCTGGGACACCGAAGGCCTGGGGAAGTCAGTGGCCAAAAAAAAACCTCATTGCCTTGGAGTCAGCCAGGGTTTCACCCACCACAGGGTGGAGGAAGAGCAGTCACTGCTGTGCAGCCCCGGGCTGCGGGGATGGGGGGACAGCACTGGTCCGTGGGCCGGACACTGAGCACCATGAGTGTAGCTATTCCAGCTAGGCCTAATGCAAATAGCCTGTTGTCTGTCTGTCTGTCTGTCTGCCTGCTGCTCTCAGCAGAGCTAACAGCGTGGCTCGTTTCTCTTAGGACAAGACAAGCGCTCTGAGCCTGAGCAATGTGGCTGGCGTGTTCTATATCCTTGTGGGAGGCCTGGGGCTGGCCATGATGGTGGCACTGATCGAGTTCTGCTACAAGTCTCGGGCTGAGTCCAAGCGAATGAAGCTCACCAAGAACACGCAGAACTTCAAACCTGCTCCTGCCACCAACACCCAGAATTATGCTACCTACAGGGAAGGCTACAACGTGTACGGCACAGAAAGTGTGAAAATCTAGGGGTACGGCTGCGGGCCGGGAGGAAACCCTCTGGGTGTTCTTCTTTCTGTCCTTTCTTTAGCTGTCTGTGCTTTTCCGTGTGTGCACCAGGGGGCTGCTGTAAGAGGCTTTCGAAACACCATCTTGTGGCAGTTTTTAAGTATGAGTCATTTAAATTTCTTCTGATCAGAAGTAGGATCAGAAAGGTACAATTCTGTTTTACACACAGAGGTAGCTGGCTTTGTGCTGAAGTGAGTAACTCCTCTCTCCAGCATCGTGCTAGTTCAAATGAAAGTATTTTGTTAATTGCTTTAAAAATCGCTATAATCAGAATTCTCATCTCTCTTGTTATTGATCTCTTCCTCTTTGTTTTGTAAGCAATAATCAGGTCAGGTAAGTGCTTTTAGGAAGTTTCCAAAAAAACTTGCAGTAGAACCAAATTCTAGTCTTCTACACTAGAATTCTAGTCTTCTACACTAGAATTCATGATCTCTAAAGCAGGAAAAGTAGAGCTGAATTGCTGACAACTGATTCTGAAAAGGCCTGGTTAGCCCCTTGGCCACAGTCTGTGCCTCTCCATGGGCTGAGCGCCCCTGCCCCTTGCTGCCAGGCAGTGATGAAATCTCTCTGGTTTTATTTTAGATCTTCACCCTGACAGCATGCAAGACAAAAAGCAGCAGAGAATGTGGCTACTTCGTGGATTTGGACCATCTGAGCCAGTTGTACTCTCTCCGAGGTGTCAGGCATGACACGCATTGATGATGGTGCAATGTACTTTTAATAGGAAAAACTGGTATTTTTTTCCTTCAGTGCCTTATGGAAGACTCTGAGACTCACAACAATGCAAACCATCACTGAAATATTCTTGCTTTGCTTCAAAGAAGTAAAAGAAAAAGAAGAGAGGAAAAGAAAGGAAAATAAAAGAAAAGAAGAAACAAAGGGAAAAAGAAAAGGACTGGCAACAAGATATTGGTATGTGAAAAAAAAAAAAATTCTTGTAAAAAAAGATCAGTGCAACAAAAGCCATTCTTTGATACCACTGCACAGTAACTGAACTTGTGTCCTGAAAGCAACCGCAGCTGGTTTCATCAGCCACCCCAATCGTATCAAATTATGAAACTCTTCCTGACACAAAGCCTCAGAAATCTGCTGCGTGCAAACGCGGACTGGCCTGCCACTGCTTGTATGAGCTGATGTCAAGATGTTTCAGTATTTACTTACAGTGGTGTCATTTTAGGTTTTTTTCTGAGCCACTTTAACCTCTCCAGCTAATTTGAGCAATTCTGTATAGCAGCAAAAGGAGGGAAAGAATCCGTGCGTTCAAACCAATTAAGGTCAATGACTGTGAATCTGTAAATCCAAAAGAAAGTAATTTGTGGAACTGCATGTCTTGCTTCCAGATCAGTAAATTAATTTCTTGACAAGGTAGCTAAAGTGTGGGAAGAAAATATTGCATTCCTTTTTTTTTTGTTCTATCATCAGGCATACCTACAGGTGCTTTATTAAAATTACATTGGGTGGCTTTTAAAATTTAAAAAAAAAAATGAAAAGCTACTTGCTGTTTAAGTTCAGACCATATATCTCTTTTCTTGCTGTGCATTTGCATTTTAATTCACTGTTTAATATCAAGCAATGAAGCAAGAGAAAGGCAGGTTAGTTTTTCCAGGCCTGCTTCTGCTTCTCCCCAGTTCTCTCCCACCTGCACCGAGCTCAGCTGATGCTCCTCAGTAACGGTCCTTGTGAAACAGAAGCAAGGGGAGAGGATAGTAACCCCAGTTCAGCTGCAGTTCCAGAGTAATAGTAAGCGATCTAACATGACTCCTGCTAGTACTGTTATCTTATATCAGCTCCTGCCAACTCTTGTTTCATGCCTGGTGAGAGGCTGCTCCTGCCCTGCCTCTCTGCGAGGAGGACGCCGCGCTCCGGCCGCCTCTGCTCAGGAGGAGCTCACTGTTACTCACATCCAGCATCTTAGACAGCAGCAGCATTTCAGCCTTGAACCTCTGCCTGGAAACTACTTAACTTCATCTCTAAAAATAAAAATAAAAATTAAAAAAAAAAAAAGAAAAAAACGCAAAACTTTAAACATATTGTCAATCACTTGGGAAATGTTCAATGGAATATCTGCTTACTAATTACCTCTAATCGACAATATGTATTTTCTGTAGTTTATGATAGAATTTTATTTCATCAATAACATACAGTGAAAAAGAAACTCATTTAAACCAGTCTGACCCTTAGGCATTTAGTTTGCTGATGATAGATTTGAACTTTTAATAGGATTTAAAAACAAACAAAAAACAAAAAAAAATAATAAAAAGAAAAGTCTTGTTAAAAATATGTATTTCCAACAAAATGTAATATAAAATCATTTTAAAAGCTCATAGGAAAATAATTTATTGTTCAAATTTTTAACGAGATATTGACAAAAAATTGTTTTGTTTTCATTTTGTTTTCATGAAACTCTGATTTTTTTTTTTCAACTTCTGAACACGATCACGTCCCCAGCAAGGGTGAGCTAAAGCTGTGCAGTTATGAGTTGTATTTAAAACAAACGTTTTTCTTAAAAGCTGTATAAAATATGTATGTTTATCAGATCAATTTTTAAGAGTGGAGGCTTCACACCAGTGAAGGGAGTTTGGTAAATGGTTCGATATTTTTTAAACTTGCATGTAAATCTAAAATGTGTTGAGTGCTTACCAATTCTGGCTACCAACTTCAAGCTATCAGAAGTTTGGCAGTAGTCTCATGATTATTTGTTTTGGTATATTTTTTTTAATTTGTTTTGCTTCAGGGGCTTTGGGGGTTCTCTCCTTTTTCTTTTTTTTTTTTTTTCTCCTTTTTTTTTTTTTTTTTGTTTTTTTTGTAATTTATGTTCCTATTTTTGGTCGTTGAAACTGCACTTGAGTGAGCAGAAAAATTGCCAAGCAAACTAATGGCTGTAAAAGCATAAACTGCATGTGTGGACATCAATTACTGAGCCTCATTTTGATGAGGTGTTGTACAAAGAGTTTTAATACATTTTGTAAATAAAACTGTAAAGAAAAAAAAATTAAAGAGCTTGCTTCTCTTTTCTTCAGAGGAGAAAGAGTCCCTCCCTACTGCACTCCCTTTGGCCAGTCTGGGATGCTCCTCAGATGTTTATCACAGAACTTTGGAAAGGTTTGGGTTGGAAGGATCACCCAGTTCCAACAGCCCCACCATGGGTGGGAACACCTTTCTCTAGACCAGGTTTCTCAAAGCCTTTCCAGCTTAGGGGCCCCCACACTGAACTGAGGGCACTGCTGAGAAATGGGTATTCCTGGTTTGGTAACCTGCAATCCAACTAATCTTTTGTTTTCTTGATGGTGGAAACTGGTTGATCCTGCAAGGAGCAAGGAGCACCCGGTGAGGAGCAGGGGAGAGGCCTCAGGGCTGCAGCCAGGCTGGGAGATGCTCTGCCCTGCCACTGCAGTGGGCAGCACTGTGGGTAAATAAATTCCTTAAATATTCACTACACAGATGTATTTTCCTGCAATTTCCAGCTTTTCAACAATGCTTCTTTAACCAAAAAAAAAAAACAAAAAAAAAAAAAAACATTGCAGCTAATCCCAGCTCTAATTTATTGAGTTTACTTCATTCACAGTGTAGCTTTTCCAAGTCACCACAAACTATGAACTGTGGGAAGTAATCCTGGTATTAAAGAGCTGGTGTGTACCCAAACCACACCCCAGCACCTCTCTGGCCACAGCACCCACATGGTCCCCATCAGGATCCAGCTCCCTGGGCTCCTTCCAGGGACCACTGAGGGTGACACTGCTGTTAGCACCCAGGGCCTCTGGGGCTGAGCTGGAGCAGCACCAGGCTTCCCTTGGATGATTGGGGATGAGAAGATCAGCCTCTGAAAAATAAAAAAAAAATCCCCCAGTGGAGGGCTTGGGCAGTAGTGCTGCTGCAGAGCAGTGGGCATGGACATGAGTGGTTTGGTATCTGCTGGCCAAAACACCCTGCAAAACAAGAGATGCCTGGAGTGTCCCTGTGGCACTGCCTCTGGCTGCAGGGAAACAGAAAAAATGTACTGGCAGTCACTGGTACCTTTCCCAGCTCAGCACCTGGTGCCTGGCAGTGGGTCCCAGCCATGGAGGGACTGAGCCCAGCCCCAGCCCCTGTGGGAGCTGCCAGTTGTGCTCATGGTACATGAGTGCAGGGGGGGACGCGTGCTGAGCCCACCCTGTGTCTTCAGCCGAGGCTTCAGCAACTGCAGGTAAGCTCAGGAATAAGCAAGGATTAAATCAGAGCAATAAACAACAATTGTTCAACCTTGGACCACCTTACAAGGATGAAGGTGTCAGGTTATGCTGGGTGTAAGCAGGGCGCTGTGCTGAGCACACTGGGCTCCGTGTGGGACCACGCTTCCCACAGGGCACAGGGAGGCCTCCCTGAAATCAGCCTATTGATGTGTGACGTGCCCACACAATGAACTCAGGGAGGCATGGAAAAAATATTGTTCTGTCCTTCAGCTTTCATTTCATGCTTAACATCCAGGCCAACATGGGCAGACTGCATTTTTCCAGGGAGCTGTCTCGACCCACTCCCTGCTGCCTGACAGCCACACACAGCCCTGCCCCAGCCACGGGGGGAGTTATGCTGCCTTCCCCCAGAGCTGCCAAAATGTGTCTGCAAGCAGGGCTCTGTGTGCCCACTGAGCCCAGCAAAAGGCCAGTGCCAGGCTGATACCAGCCCTGCCCTGAGTGAGCAGTCACTGCCTACCAGGGGCTCACCAGATCCTGCACAGTGGGTGTTGAGTTTTTCTAATAAATATGTGTCAGGTGAAACAGGGTTGTGGCAAAGTGGCACAGCTGCACCCAGTGAGCTGGGAGAGCCTGGCCAGCTGGGGTGGGCTGGGGGATGGCCTCACATGGGTCTGTGGCCACACGATGAGAGGCAGGAGATGGTTTAGTCTGGAACCTCCCTGGGCCACAAGGACAGTGCACTTTGGGCCAAAACCTGACTTGCTACACACACTACAGCAATGGCAGCAGGGCTGCATGGCACCCCTGGAGTGATGGGCTCCAATACACCCCAGCATGACCTTGTCTCTAGACTTCTGCAGCTGAGGAATAATAATATAAGGAAAAATTCAGAGTAATGCATCAAATTCCAAGAGCTATCAGTGGCAGCAGGACCTCAACAGTGTTCAAGTTTGAGCTTAAAAATCCAAACTAATAGCAGATCTACCCCATGGCACACCACAACTGACAGCAAAATAAAATAAATACTGTATCATTGTGGCATAGTTTTTCCTTCAAAGGTTTTGTTCAAAGCACTGCAACATTTATTTTTTCAAAAACAATTCTTCTTTATGGTTATTAAAATAATATTATGTCATGGATATTGCAATTAAATTACAAAATATCTTTGGTGCCCATATTCATCATTTCAGTCTGGAAAATGGGCTCTATTTTGCAGGCAGCAATACATAAACAAGATCTGGGTAATGATAGTTCTATTCAATTAACCTAAAGGATTTAAGTACAGAGATAATATTTGCATGGATATTATAAATTTAATAGTAGTATTTACTAAGAATGTAATACATCTGAAATTGGTATCAGGGAGGACAGTGTCCCCAGGAGCAGCAGCACCCGTAGCCCCCGTGGCACAGCAGGGCAGGCTGGCATTACACCAGGGGATGGCACCAGCAGGGCCAGGGCACCCACTGCTGCATCCCCCCCAGCCCCAGAACCCCAGGCTGCAGCCCCAGCACCATTGGGACACTCCTCTAATGTGTGCCCTGTGAGCGGCAGGTTTGGCCAAGATCTGCCCATCAACATCCCAGTCCTGCTCTGACTCTGTGCTTGGGCTTTCTTGTCTTTATTTCATCAGTTACCAACAGAGAAATTACTGAGACTGGTTTGTGATATGGCGCCATCACTGCAACAGCATC